TGGCTCTGTGGTGCCTGCAGTGAGAGCTTCCCCCACAAGTGTAGCCTCACCCGGCGCTTGCAGACCCACACCGCTGAGAAGCCCTTTGCCTGAGACAGCTGCAGCAAGAGCTTCAGCCACAGCTCTCACAACACCCAGCACGTGTGCACCCACACCAGGGACCAGACTGTGCTGGGGGACACAAATACACCGAGCTCAGCACTCTCGGTGAACGGGACCCCCCTGAGAGTCAGACTGAACAGAAATTGCCTCTTTTCCACCCAGATTCCTCAGAGGCTGGGGGCTCCAGCAGCAGCAAATACCTTCCTCCCCCACGCCAGACACCTCTTAGTGAGAATGAAAGTAATTCTGGTGATGAGGTGGCACAGCCGGTGACCCCACCAAAGCTGGGCTGAGCTTTGCCAGGTTAGAGCTCATTTTTCCCCCACCATTTAGATTTCCCTTTGGTAAAAATCTCCTTTCCTTTGCCTAGTTGTAATGGGAAAATGATAAATCCAATAAAATACTATCTTTTTATTATTGTTTTGCCATTTCTTCCTGGGATGATCCAATATCTTGGGCGTTTCTTCCCTGGGCTTAGGTGCAGAGCCATGTGCCCAGTTCTGGGAGGGTGTCGCTTGGGTCTTGGAGGGAGCTGGTGTGTCTGGAGGGGTTTCTGGAGTGTTTTGATAGTCTTGGTTGGGGGCTACTCCTGTGGGGACTCAGGGAGTTGGGGCACTACTCAGTGGGTAAGCGGACCTCTGGGCAGATGTCGTGGTTTGGGGTAAAATAGAGCTGGTTCTTCTGAATGATTGGAACTTTTTAGCTCAAGCTCTTCTAATTAACTGCCTTGTCTGAAGTCAGCAGCGTTTTTGCAAACTGTCTGGTTTTAGCAGTGATAAGACTTCATGTTCAGAGTTCCTGCCAGGGCTTGGGATGCAGATCAAGGCCATTGCTAAGCTTGTGTCTCACACCGAGAAAGGCACCTGCGGGGAGGAGCATGCAGGATAAGTGCCCCAAAGATTCACCAGTGGTGTTGTGGGAAACAGTCCATTTCCTCTTCCCCCCATATAACTTAACAGCCTTTCCAGCCAGCAGAGCAAGCAAAGTGCCTTTTGGCTGATTTAGCCAAGGACGAACTGAGACGCACTCAGATAAGTGCATAACTAGAACTGGTAGAAAAATAGATAACTAGCTAGAAGACTGCCTCTGATGGAGTGTGCATCTGGGCAGTGCTAACTGGC